CATAAGTTTGGACATGCCTTGCCTGATTCTATATACCGTGAAGGGCGTAACATTCTCATATTTGGTGCTCCATACATTTGATATTCCCACACCCTTTGGTGACACCTAAGTGGCCTTCTGAGTGGTCAAAGTGTTGGAAAAGATGAAGAGGAAGATGCATGTGCAGTTTTGAGGCAGTGTCATGTGCCATTGTGGTGGTTAGAGATAAAAACCTGAAGCTTTCCAAATGCGGAAAAAGAATTGGATCACATGTGCGCGATGTTTATGTAATTTCAGTCCAATGGCAGCACGTTTGGTCCCAACTTTTTACAGGTAAATAGAATGCCCTGGGGTGTCCCTAATGGAGTATAAAGTTTGCCTGATACATGTGTCTTTGCAGTGCAGCAGAGCTTCAAAATTTCTAGAGCAGGTGCTGCAATACTTTTTCCGAGTCAGTGTACTCACTGCAGATAGAGTCACGACCGGGGAGCCCAAGACGGCGGGCGAGAAGGAGAGGACGGCACACAGCGCAGCAATCGTGGAGGTGGTAAAACGCATGGCGGAGTTTGGCGTGTTGGTATTGTGCGGTGTGTGAGTAGCTTAAGAGATTTACTCTACATCCGCGCCTCTTTTATATTGCACGAACACATGCCGGCAGGTAATAGGAATAAGAGAGGCAGATTCCAACCGCTTTGTTTGTGCCTGGGGCATTACGAGATGTGTGGAGATGGAGATTATCATTGACATTACACGCTTGTAGCTTGTAACTTGTGCACTGCGAGATTTGGTTGCCAGTGGATTGCATAGGAATGGACTTGAGCACGTGGCTGCGCGTGGTTTCCGTCTTTGCCCAAGCCAATATTCTCAGTGGCCTGGAGAAAAAGGATGGTAGTGATCAGGAGAGTGCAAGCAATACATTTGTTGACAAGTTGATGGGGAATGAAAACATTCTAGTCGAGTACAGTCGCTAACGGCGAAGCGCAACGCCACCACGTAGCGCAACATCGCCAAACAAACCGCTCCACCGCTCGATTTCGGCAAGTTTCAGACCTCTTACCCCGTTTTCAAGGTCGCTGAGTGTGATGGGCCACATCCCGAGCATCGGTTTCCAGTATTTGGCCGAGAAATGGTAATTGGCGGTCGTAGCCGCCCGGTCCCTGAGATTTGACGTAAGAAAGCCCGTTGGCGATACTCTCGTTCTGACTCCTCCGCGGCCTTACGCTGAGCCTTCGTGCCCGGGGGGCGTCCCATACACGAGTGGCAAAGATTGGTGGCGGTCAGTGGCGATGATGATGATGATGATGATGATTATTCAGTTTAGTTACTGTATATGGCCGGTAGTGGCTATGACAGCTGTTCATACGGTAATATGTTACTGGGAGGGTATCGTTTGGGGGTGTAGTGTCAGGTGCTATGGTAGGTAGACTGAGAAAGAAGGTTTACGACAGTAAATGGTAAAATGGTAGGGGTCACGGTACGGTTGCGGGAGGGTGATTTTCGTGTGGGAGTTGAGCGTGTGTCGCAATGGTTTTTAATGGCAGAAATTATCAGTGTTTAAGGTAGGCGGGGAAGATAATAGGATAGTGAGAGAGTGAGAGGGAAACGGGAAGCAGAAAAAGAGAAGCTACATTACTCAAATCGACCGGTTGTTTCAATGAACTTGCCGAGTGTTTTTAGGATTTTCGGGTGAGAGAGTAGAGGTGCGACGTGGAGTGGGCCTAGTTGGCCCGCCGATCTCGAGGCTGCGTATAGGGATTGCTGCACGGGTTCCCAGGCAGGGCAATTAAGAAGGAAATGGGCGCGCGTCTCGAATGGGTCGCCGCAGGCATCACATGCAGGTGATTCGATAAAACCTGACTTCGCCCGATGCGCATTCAGGAACGAAAAGTCAGTGCGGAGTTGCGAGATGTTAGATGACATTTTGCGTGGTAGTGATGTAGAGGAGTAGAGTGGGATGGGGATAAGTGAGGGCGGGGACTTGTCAACAGCTCGTAGGGCTGCGCCAGTCTTTGAGATCTTCCAGCGTGCTTCCCAGGAGCTCAGCGTGAGAAGGTGGATGTGACGACGGACCGAGGTGAGAGACACGAAGAGGGATGGGTCCGGATCCCTCGTTGTTGCATCTTTCGCAGCATCATCGGCGAGCTCGTTCCCAGCTGTGCCGATGTGAGCTGGTGTCCACATGTTGACAATGGAGAGTTGCGGAAACCACAGCATCGCGTCGCGGACCAACTGATCGTAGAGGATAGCTCGGAACTGTCCCGAGCGTGGTTTCGTGGACAGGATCCCCCGCAGCGCTGCCTGTGAGTCAGCGACGCACAGAATACACGTGCGTTCGTCACGGAGAGCCTTGGCCGTGGAGCACAACAGTCCCGCCATTTCCCCGTTACACACCTGCCCATCCCCGAGAGGTTCCATCAACCGCTCGCGCTCTTTCCCATTCTCCATTCTCACTGCTGCCCCGCCCGCCCGTCCCTCCAGCAACGATCCATCCGTAAACCAGGTTGCCTGCTTGCGTCGTTTGTCAGCCATCGCCGTTTCCAGCGCCTGGAGGGCGCTATCCTTCGGGAGGATGACGGTGGTGACTGGGAGCGTGGCCGCCCACGGTGCCGCGTAGACCGGGAGGATGGGCTCCATACCCAACGTGTCATCGAAGTCTACGTCCGGTGCTTCGGCATCCCCGACAACGCGTGGGACACCTCGCGCTCGGATACGTTGGCCTCGAGCAGGAACTGAGTCTGGCCAGCGCGTTCCCGGGATTCATTCCACTAGGTGGAGGATCGAGGCAAACTTAGCTTTCCTCGGCGGTTTGGCAATAGCATCAGGCAGAAGAGGTCGAATGGGGTGAAGGCGGGGGAGAGACAGGTAATACGCGACAGTGTTGAGCGCCTCTCGCTCGATGCGAAGCTGAGCTGGGAGGATCGCGGCCTCCTTCTCAAGGGCTGCGAGGGAGGCTGTGCGGAAGCTGCCCGTAATGCAGTGTGCCACCGATTTATTGACGCGATCAAGCAGCTTGTAGGCGGGTGGGGGTAGGGGGAGGAAGGAGGCGACACCATAGTCGGCGCAGGGCAGGACAGTAGAGCGGGCAAGGTCACGAACGAGGAGAGGGCATAGACCCCAGGACTTGTGCATCACGGCAATGGAGGCATTGAGCGCTCTCATCGCCGACGTCGCACGCTCCTGGATGTGTTTTGCGCCCGATAGCTTGCCATCAAGCCACACACCAATCCACTTCATTGACTCCGACGGGGATATGATTTGACCGTCAAAGCGAATCGAGACTGCGGATAGGTCTATCCGATCTGCTTGGAAGTGGGTAAGCTCAGTCTTCTCACTCTCAAAGCACGCCTTATCCTCCTGCTCCCATTCCTTCGCCAGCAACCCCGCAGTTTCCAGGCTTTGAACATTACGCAGGATGGAGGAGTGTGCCGTCGTAAAGTTGACGTCGTCAACAAAGCCACCTAGCCAGGATACTTCCACGTTGATGACAGAGAGTCGGCGAAGTAGGCGGTTGATGGAGATGAGGAAGAGAATGACGGAGAGAGCTGAGCCCTGAGGCGCACCATGGTCACGGCAACAGAACGTAGCCGTTCTCTTGCCATCAATGATTACCGTAGTGCGGTGGCCGTCGAGGAACGCAAGGACCCAGGCGATTGTTGAGCGGTGAAATCCTAGCAACGCGAGCTCTTGAGCGACAACCAGATGACGGATTCCATTGAAGGCGCCCTTTAGGTCAAAGCTTAGCGTCGATACAATCAACGCTTTGTTTGGTTGCGTTGCGCTACGTCGTTAAACAGCCAAATCAGGCCGTCTGAAGTCTTTGCCTCCGTACTCGCTCAAAACACCTCAAACCCACTCGGATTTTTTTATGAATCCATAGATTGGATCCAAAGGTGTAAGTCTATCACAAAGAAATTTTGGAACTACACCGCAATTCACCCACAATTTGTGAATTGCGTTAAATGTTGCGCTTCGCCGTTAGCGACTGCCAGTGTATTGCAGACTGTCTCGCAGTTGTTAGGGTGATTTGTACCACTGCGCGTTCGAACGGAACTCTGGGATGCACTTGGTTTCTCCGGTCCTGCGCACAGACGAGAGACGGCAGGTCCAGAGCTCTCGAGCACGGTTCCATGGCCGACAGATGCCTGAAGAAGGATTATCTAACCGATTCGCACGGGTCTGGCGGTCACCTGCCACATCGTCAACGACTTAGACCTTGCCGAAGAGAAGCCTGCCCCAGACAAGCGCGATGAGATAGCAAGCAGTATCGGGTATCTGTGTCCCCGCACGGTCGAGAACCTCCTTCCCGCCAGCCTCTCTAATCCCTCCTACCCGTCTGTCCTCCTCTCCTTCCTACCTGTTCAAAGACCCAAGCAAGACGCTGGAGTCAGTGGCCGCAACCGGCGTCGTTGGTTCAACCGATCGTAGGGAGCTGCGCCGCGGGGACCCAAGCACTTTGCCGGTCACGTTGTCCGCTCACCACTGACCAGACTGGGCACGTCGGAAGTGGTCGACAAGCTCGAGGAGCTTGAGAAAGTGGCGCGCCCTCAACTTGAAGAGCGACATGCTCAGATACTTCAGCAGCGAGTCTAAAATGCTGCCCCCGGACGCTCGTGAGATAGAGAGTCGTTACTGGCTTTCTCGGCTTGCAGAAGTTTGTTTTGTTCAGTTTTTGTTCTCTCGTATACGCCGCGGCGTGCTGACACGCATGGACTGCGCGGGCTGCTCAGAGTCCTCCGGCTGACATTCCCTACCCCCCACGCTACCCGAGGAAAAGCAGCACACAAGAAGAGGAGATACGACGCCTCCCTACGCCCTTCCGCAGCAGATCGATCGACTGTCTCCAACATTTTCGTCAACGTAGAGCCCACCGACGTAATGTCGCCTCGACCGTAAATGTGGCCAAGCTGTCACTAATGTGGATTTTCTGTACTTAACCTGGAGAACATTTTCTTACACGCCCGGAATATTATTTACCGGTTACCTTAGACCCTAGACTCTCGTATGCTCGGGACTTGTTCATCGCCCGCTTGGCCCAGTGGTAAGGCGTGTCACTCGTACGATGAGAGCACAAGTGCGATGACAAGATCAGTTGTTCGAATCAGCTAGTGGGCATAATTTTTCTCCCTTTTTCTTTTTTTTCTCTTTCAACTGCAACCATATGGACTAGTGCTCTCAGAAACTGTTTCTATTCAAAGTGGCTCTTCTTAGCTCAAAACGGGGCCCTCTTCCATCAGGTAGACTGACTGCACACCGCCTTGCAACCATGCGACGAGTTCAACACCGGGTCCAAGAGAGACCGGGAAACAGGTTCATTGTCCCGGATCATGAACGAAATATATTGGCGTTCCGCACTAGATCCGACGGAAGGAAGGGTGCAGGAAGAAAGGAAAGCCGCAACGCGCTTGGAAAGTGTGACGTCACTGTGACCGCGAGTCACATCACATAATGTTTTTCGGGCTGAGTCGGAGCAGCTTGATCGCTACAACCACCACCATCGACCGGCTGCGATTCTCCGCTTTGACCGTGACTGCTGCCATTCCTCTCCGGAGGACCTCTTGACAGCACCCCGCCCGCTTTCGTTCTGACTGAGCTCAATGAAACATGCGCGGTTCTACACGGCGCTGCCGCGAGTCGGCCGGGTGCGGTCCAACTCGGCGTCGCGGGCACTATACACCAACGCCCCCTCGCTCGCGTCCTTCTTCGATGCTTCCGCTCCTACCCCGCCGCCGCCTAATACGCGCCTGACGACCCATCGCTTGCCCATCGAGGCACGCGCCGAGCTCGAGGGCCCCAACAGTGCCAACAATTCTCACCCTACCCACGCCCCTCTCGCTCTCGCCTCTACCCACACCCCCAGCGGGCAGCATCCTCACCCTGCCCAGCTCGCCTTGTTCTTTCCTTATCCTCCGGGGCCGATCCCGAAACCTGCCACCGCCCCCCATGCAGCCGGCTCGCGCGCCCACAGGCGGAGAGGACCACGGTATACCCTGGACATCGGCGCATATGGCATTCCCAAGCGCGGTCACAGCGTGCGCGTTCTCCACACCTCGCCTACGGACGCACCACTCGCCGTCCAAGTCGGCGAAGACGCTTACTTTGTCCGGGAAAACGCCATGGGTGTGGCGGATGGCGTTGGAGGATGGGCGAGGGTCAAGACTTCAAGTGAGTGTTGGTGTTTTTTTGTGCGAGCAATTAACTCAGTTTTGCGGCATCTAGTACCCCCCACCGGGCCCAGTGCTTCTGCACTCTTTGCTAGCCGTCTGATGCATTTTTGTGCGGATGAAGTGGACCGAGCGGCGCATAGGTCGCAATCGCACTCCCACTCGACCTCATCCCCGCATCCACCGGTGGTGGTGCCGTGGGAAGTGCCGAGCTGCCGCTCGCAACGGCCTTACGCATATCCCTCCACGTTACAGTCCTACCCATCTACATGCGATCCGCCCTTATCGTCCTCTTTCCCCCCATCTTCGTTCTACAACTCCTACGCCCCGTACTCCCCGCCTGCGTCGCCGTACGACCCTTGGCAAGACCATTACGAGCCTTCCGCCGCCGATGCAGAAACGGATGATCTTGCTACCGCTCTCGATGCGGAGCTCGACGACCTCGCAGAAGGCATCGATGTGCTGAACATCCTAGAGCGCGCCTATGAGCGCACTCTGAAGGCTCATGTCGTCCCAGTGCCTCCCGATGGTGCACCTTCTTGTGCCGCCCTGCCTACGAATCCGGTAAAATCAGTGTCTCCGCCATCGACGACGACCCCGTGTATACCGACAGGCACAGGGCCATGGAGCTTCCTGGCTCCACCGAGATCTGACGCGAAGACTGTTCCTTTGCGCGCGGGCGGTAGTACGGCGCTCGTGGCAGTGTTGGACTATCTCCCCTCGGCGGCCGCGCTGCCGGATCTCGTGGAGGTTGGCGTCGAGGGTGCGGGAGCGGGCGTACTTGATTTGCTCGATCGCGATACCTCGCAACACGTGGACACGGCCGCGGCCGGCGCTGCGCTGACGCCTGTGCTCAAGATCGCGCATCTGGGTGACTGCATGGGGATGCTCGTTCGCGGCGGCACGATCGCGTGGCGCAGCGAGGAAATGTGGTGGCGGTGGAACACGCCCGTGCAGCTGAGCGCGGCAGTGGCCGGCCCTGCGGCGCGGGACATGGCGCCGGCCGCTGGTGCGTCGGGATGGTGGGGGCAGTTCACCGGGGCGGCTGCTGCCCCTGCCCCGGCAGACGGCGTTGGTGTGCAGGTCGAGGTGACGCCCGCGTCTGCGGCGCGCGTGTTCACGCTGCCCGTGCGCGCGGGGGACATCCTCGTGCTCGCGAGCGACGGGCTGGGCGACAACTTGTGGGACGAGGAAGTGCTCGAAGAGGTGGGCCGCGTGCGTGCGGCGTTTGCGGCCACTAGCACGAGTGCGGCTGCGGCTACGCCTACGGCGGTGGCGGAGGAGGAAGTGGGATTGGGTATCGGCGCGGCTGTCGACGGTGAGCGCCTGCGACGGCGCACGCTTGCGGGGATGCTCAGCGAGGCGCTGTGTTCACGCGCGCGGCGGGTGGCGACGCGGCGCGCCGGAGGACAGCCTTGCGCGCGGACTGAGGCGGCATGGGGTGACTCGTCGGCTTGGTGCGAGGAGAATGCGAACGAGACGCCTTTTGCGCGCCGCGCACGCGAGACGGGCAGGGAGTACCGCGGGGGGAAGAATGATGGTGCGTCTCGTCGCCTCCCTCCGCTGTCCACCACACGTGCTAATACATCTTGCAGATATCTCGGTGATCGTCGCCGTGATCGCGCCTGCCGAGGGTTCTGGGTTTGGGTCCAGCGCAAGTGCAAAGCGCGAGGCGACGACCCCGACTGGGGCATCGGTTCCCAGGGACACCACACCGGTCCCGGTCGATGCATAAGCCCTCCACGAGCCACAGAGCTTCATAAGACAGCCATAGCTTCGACCTGTTTTGCTATATGGGTGTCCTCTTCCGATAGACGGGATCTGAACATACGCACTCGATGCGGACTCCTCCATTCACACACACACACACACATATTCATGCCACTGCAATGTAGACCACCCAACAATCTATGCGACTAAAATGACGCGGGCGCAAGCTTCGTATACCTTACGCAGGTAACTTATATTTTGACACGCAATGTAGTTTTTTCAAGCTGTACAAACGGTTGTAATTTGGTGTAGGATATCATATATGTACATTTGGGTTTGATTCAAGCAAGTGGCTAGAAATTGACGCCGCCGTGTGAGCGTTCAACGTTCAAGTTGTAAGCCATTCAAAAGATGAGGTTTCAACTTCTCCTTGTAGATGAAACGCCGGAGAATTTGTTGTCGGCCGTCTAGCTCAGTTGGTTAGAGCGTCGTGCTAATAACGCGAAGGTCTTGGGTTCGACCCCCACGATGGCCATGCTCCATTACTTTTGGGACATTGTTTTTTTTTCGTGAGGTGGTTCGTCAAAGTGATTGCGAGCGTCTGGAGTTTGTCTCTTTTTAATCTTCTCGGAATTCACAACTAGCAGACAACTCCGAATCCGGAGTGCGACTCCCGTCTCATCATCCCGTTTACAAAATACAAGACAAAATTCTACAATGATGTCCGGAAACGTCCGATGTAGACATAAAGTAAGTCAAGGAAGCGCAGCTTGCCACTGATATGTCGACGGCGCATTCCGCCGTATTGGATGCCGTAGTAAATCATCGACTCGATCCTCGGATACCTCAGGAAGCCCTGGCATCGCTGCCGCATGCGGATCATAGTACTCCGTGTCCTCTCGGAGCAGATGTCGTGTAGACGGTGAGTGCGACAGATGTCGAGAATGGGACAAGCGCGTCGGGCTCGACAGACGTCGCAGTGACGGCAAGAGACTTGTTTGCGACGTCCCCAATCTCGTTACAAGACGCAGCGGCTGGAACAGGCTGTCAGTCAGCGGCGCAAAAACCGAGTGCGGATGCAGATCTGACTTTTAGTCCGTGAGGCTGATTGACTTGGGTCATGTCAGAGCCGGCGTCGGCAACCAGCGTAGAGGCGCTGAACTCGGACTGCATCGTGACGGCTCTGTCTAATAGAGGTGACCCCGCCTCGAAGGACTCGTCGTCGTTGGCCGGGAAGCCATCCGCCTTGCGCGCGCGCGCGCCAGACGAATCTGAGTATATCAGGGGAGTGATGCCGTTGGGCGGGGAATACACGTCGAATTGCGATTGGACCATATACCCGCGCTGGAGGCGCATCCAAAGTGTTTTGTTTCGACGCAAAAGAAGCTTTCAGGAAGTGAGTAGGTGTGGGCTGAGTGAGGGGACGGCGTACCCAGACGGCAACAAGAAGTAAAACGAAAATGAGTGCGGCGATGGAACCGGCGGCAGCAATAGCACCAGCGCTGCAAAAAAGGTCAAACTCGGGCTAGCCAATGATAGCTACGGCCTTACGAAATCCCTTTATGAGGGGGGAGGTCAGCGGGTAATATCGGGGTTCCTGTAGGAGATGGGCTGGATTGGCTTGAACTAGGTTGGCTTGAGGCATATAAGAATGTCAAGCTTCATTCCTGTAGGAAGACGTACCTCAGAGCCCTGCTGACATTCGCGGTGTGAACAACGGCATAATCGATTTGTAACAGCCCAGGAGTTTCATTGACCAGCGTAACGGTGTGATTCATCCCGGGTCCGAAGTTCTGCCCAAAGTACAGAAGCACTTGCGAGGAAGAGATGCTCCGGTTGGCAGTGAATTCTTTTCGTGGTTGATCCGCCCGTGAAACACTGTATCGCGAATTTCCGGGTCCAGTGGTACCATATATTGACACAGCATCGCCTGCACCACGTCAGCCATTGCTGAGTATCCAGCTACAGACGATTACCCTACGTGAAATTGTCAATGGAGGTGTGCAGAGGCGAGCGGCGCAGTACCCACAGAAAATGTGTAGTTTACAGAAGCGTTGACCTGGGAGGTGGAACTGGTGACGTATATGAACAGGAGGATGTTCGAGTCAATGTTGCACGTACTGCCCAGTGCTTTCGCTGAAGCTGGTGAGATTAGGATTCATGTTCCACGACCCCTGAGGTAGCCAAGTAAAAGCGGGGGCCGAATCGTCAGTCGTCACATTCAAAAGTGAAGAGTTGGAG